CCCATAAGCAGATGTTTGAGTTATATTGTGTTAGCGTTTCTAGTTTATTGTAGAAATACCTTAAAATAGGGTTTATCATCCAAAAAACTTGTGTTAAAAAAAAGAAGTAACTGTGTTGCTACTTGCTTTTCGGGGTCAATGAATTAATGTGTTTACTGAAAATACTGTCACAATACCGTCAGAATCTTTCGAAATACCGTGATATGGATTTTTGGCCATACCACCCAGCCCTAATTGTAACCAGTGCCAAATTCCCTTACTCTTTGTGCTAATTTTATACATATATAGTGTATGTACCTATGTACATATTTTGTATGTATGAAAAAGAGCTGAGTGGTCCGAAAACTAGAAAAGAGATGTATATTCCATTTACCATACACTCCAAAAACTGATATGGGCTGGCAGTCCAATTTACTTGACTGCAAAATGTTTTATCTACATTATAGTTTTACGTTTGCAAGATGAACGTGACCACATTGCCTTCGTTTTACAAAACATTTACAAACATACAAAACACGCGAGAAGACGAAATACCATCAGTGTTCGTCACACACACGGAAAGGTAAGCAAAATAGCTGCATCCATCCTGTCTTATGCAAATGAATTATTGTTCAATACTATGATCAGCTGTTAGTCCTTTCATGTTTTTATGCTTAATTTCATCTAGTGTTTTGGGGGAAATAAACTTCTCTTGCCTCAACCACAGTTTGTGTTTTCTTGTTCCCATTGTTAATGCAAGGTTTCTTTATTTGTGTTATTGTCATTGTTTGCACTTAATATCTATTCTTTGACTTAACTTAATAAAATCATGGAAAGGATTACCATTGAATGGCTTTCTTTTAGCACTAAGAAATTATATTCGACCAACCTGTATAGAGTAGAGTTAAATGTGTTTGAACCTGATTAAGTTAGTTTACTAAATTTAGTTGAAACTGATCAAACCATTTATATCAATTCAACTCTAAAAAAACTATATCAACCAAACCCAATAACATAGTTTTAGAGTAACGTAATTGCTTAACATAAAGAGCACAGACATTTCTATTTCGTGAAAAGAAGAGAGAAACCAATGCCTTTTTGATAAGAATCCCCACAACCAAGCTCTCTTGCTCATTTTTGTTGTTTCCTAAACCTCCTCTGAGGATAGATGTCTATTTGAAAGAGCCACTTAACAAAGGAGGGTGAATGAGTGTGAATGGATGAATGATAAAGCACTTTGAGAATAGCATTATACAAAGATACAAAGAGCGTTCCACCTTATTTCAGCTGACCAAGCAAAGATCTATGACTTATTGCTGGAAATTCTCACCAATTCATGAATGCTAATGGACCAAAACAGTGTAACCAACCTGGAAGGTTCAGGTTGTAATCTCCCGTGTTCATCTCTCAGCAAGGACATCCAGCAGTCATCTATGATCACATACTCATAGCCCAGCTCCTTCCAGCCATCTTCAGCCAGCCGGTCAGCTGTGTCTTTGAACAGGTCCTCGCTGTGGAACCGTTGGACACAGGAATCAAACACAGACTTTGTCAGCCATGATTGAAACACATTGATATACTTTAAGTCAAATGTTCTGCATACTTTTAACAAGATTTCAATTAAATAATCTACAGTATTTACAGGCACTGTAAATGGTAAACGGACTGTACTCTCTTTCTTTAGTCCTCACACTCCAAGCTGATGAGAGGATAGCATGATATGCAAAATTGATAATGTTATTATATGACTTTTTAAGGATGTAGAACTATTAAGGGTTTAGGATAGGAAAAGGGGACACATAAATAAGTGCCTAGGTTTTAATCTTATAAGTAGGACCAAAAACTTTTTGATAATATAATCAGCCATATTATAGAGTGCATATATGAAAAAGATGCTCTGTAGTTTTACCTAGGCTTAATTTAGGTATTATAAGAGGTATCCAGCCATCCTTATTGACACACCTATATATGTGCAGGTGTTCGTTGTTTTTCTTATTTTTATATGTGCATGTCATCTAAAACTGTAAAATGCACAATACAATATATATATAGATATATGTTGGTGACAGAAGTGACAGCAGTTCTGCGAGAAGATGTGATGCCAGTCAGGTGGATACTATATTTTATAAATGTGTTTGCTGTTGTGGTTTTTATTGACAACATTAATAGAATTTCCTCTGCCTTAAGATTGCAATATTACTTTTTGCTGATAGTAATTTTAAATTAGCATTAAATTAAGTATTATACATTAACTGATTTCAATTTTAATTTAAAATAACCGGAAAATGTTCTTCTCTCAGCCTGAAATACTACAAAAAATAACTGTAACTGAACCCACACTGTGACACTATCCAGAGGAACAACAATCACAACGTGATTATACCTGATGCAGTTCTCCCGGTCATCTTTACAGTCAATATCACAGCGAAAGCGTTCCCAGGCCATCCATCCCATAGGGGGAGTCTTCAGTAAGCCGTCGTCCAGGGCAACAGTCACTGAGATCAGGGCAAGGAGCTGAGCTAGGGCAAATGGCCCCATTTCTAAACAGAAGAATTTTGCAGATTGAAAACTCATTGGCGCACAAGGCAAGCCTGTTAGATTTGCTAGATTGTAGTCTCATGTTGTGTTACGAAGGTTTAATCTAAAACAATACTTAAAAGAGAGCAGCAACATGTTTCACAGAGAGGGTAGCATGACATTCATGAGGGATGTGCACTACAAAAGCCTACAGATGGGATCTAACAGGAAGAAACTGTTCTGTTTCTTCCTGTTTACTTTCAAAACTGTCCAACAACTGAAGTTTTATGTCAAAGCCTCGTGCTACTTACACCTGCTCCTGTGTCATTTTCTAGGCGAGACACAGTTCATCTCAAACGAGCCCATTTCCTCGCTTCCAACTAGACACGGAAGAAGTTCTGCGCCGCCATATTGATAAGGCCATCTCAGGCAAATTTGAATTAACGGCCGTCCCAAAGCTCCAAGAAGCTCTGAGGATGGAGGAGCGAGGATGCATGGGAGTCTGAGGGCGTGTTTTAACGGCCGACCCACCCACTTATTGTTCATCAGTTATTTGATTGGCCGCTGCATCTGATCGGACTAAAGAAGTAAAGCTGTAGAAGTCAGTTGTTTAAAACACAACACAGAATACAGTATAAATCCTGCAAACTCTATATAAATCAATGCATTATTTTTACAGGCTACAAAGAGAAAACATTGCTACACTGACAGGGATAATTACTGTTTTTATTTGATATTAGTACAACGATCACACAAACTCCTCAAAGGTCTCTCCAGATTATGAGCCACCGCTGGTTGTGATTGTCTGTGATCATCTGTGGGTGAGCGGGGAGCAGGTCGTCCTCCAGTCAGAGGGTTGTCGGTTTGATCCCAGGCCCTGCTAACCCGCATGTCCATGTGTCCAAGACACTTAACCCCACATTGCTCCTGTAGCTGCGACTACAGTGTGTGAATGTTAGTGACTGATGGGCAGGTGTCACTGTGTGTGGTTCTCCTGTCATCAGTGTGTGAATGGGTGAATTATGTCATGTAGTGTTAAAGCGCTTTGAGTGGTCAGAAGACTAGAGACAGCTTTGATTGTCTGTGATCGGGTGTGATTGTCTGTGATGAGCTGTGATGAGCCTCCTCCATCATCAGAAACGGTCTTTGATCAACTCGCTGAAGAAAGCATGTTTAAGCCATGTTCCCTTGATTCCTCTCTCCTTGCAAGTGAGGGAAGCAAGGATGCAATAACAGTGATAACAATAATAACGAGACTTGGGATGTGTCCTCAGTGAGCATTCACTCACTGGTCATTGTACAATCCTTTCTATATAGCCCACGAAAGTGCACTCGGATGTCATATAAATGTTCATATTTCTACTTTTTGGGTTTGAGTACGGTTTATTGATGATGGTCAATATGGATGTATTAGTGTTGTTTGAGTGAAGGTGGTTTAAATATGTATTTAAATCTAGTTTATATAATAAGGCATGAATGTGGTTTAAATATGTATTAGAAATGTATCAGTCATTTTCAAAGACGGGCAATTTAGAGTCACTGATTAACCTAATCCCCATAGCAAGTCTTTGGACTGTGCGAGGAACATGCAGACTCACACGGTGGAGTCAAACCCAGGACCTTCTTGCTGTGAGGCGACACTGCTAACCAGCACACCACAGAGCCCCCTGATTTTTTCTTACATAAGTTTGAAATACTTCCCTTCTACTGAGGTAATAAAGATATTATTTAGTACTTACAATGCCACTTTCCATTTTGTTTTTGGAGAATAATTGCAGAAGGATTGAATGTAAGCTTGCCGTATGGCTCACAAATGTTTTCTTACTTAGTGAGGCTCTTAACAGCACGTTACCAGAGCAGCACCATCAAGCAGCAGATCCAGTTTAGATAAACACACACAACACCGTGACATGTCTGTTTAAGATCGTATTACAGTTAGGAAAATAAGTGTCTCCTACCTGTTGACCTCAAACGTCAGCTTGCACACGACTGATCTAAACAGTTCTGCTTGTGCAACCACATGACCGCCCTCTGTTCTTCCTGGATCAATCTCTTCCTGTTAAGGTAAGGTCATGTGACTGGCTGCTTTGTGTCATATGACAAAAAGGGAAACAGGGTGAAGGAGGAAGATAAGTGGTCTTTTGGTGTACAAATGTATATAGCATTCTTTTTGTGTAAGACATTATTGATAATATGAGTATTTTCTTAAGTACTAATCATATAAGAAAATAACACACTATGACCACAATGGCCCTTAAATTCACAGAAATGTTTAGGATTGAGAAAACAGTGTTGCAATGGAAACATGTGAGGATAAATAGTTTGGTGGCTAATAATGTAGATACACCTTTTCTCTCTAAACAAACTGCACCAGTACGCTGAAAGTTTGAATTCCTTCGTATTGTTCAGTTTTTTTTTTCTTCACGGCAACCTGCATGTTTCGTGGTTCGCCCTGAAAAACTGGTTTGGCCAAACTGTTGTAACTGTAATAATAATGCTTTTGATCAGTAGAGCAGTTTTGATTTAATTTCATATGATGACATAAAAAACATTCAGAAACATTATGCAAAGCATTTAGTTAAACATAAACATTTGATATCAAATGAATGAATCAATACACAGAGATTAAAAAGCAATCTGCCCGTGGAAACAAGACATGTAAAAATACAACACCCTATACAGCAGTCAATGCAATGTATAAATCATCCAGATAGCCATCAAAAGAAACATTTTATATTCAATTCTATTTATATTGTATAGCTCAAAATCTCAGATCCGACCACACAATTATAATGACAACACAGTGTATATTAATTTTAGATTACTCATACTGACTCAAGAAGAAAATGCATCTCTACACACCCAGAACCCTCTTGCGGTGGACCAACTCAACCCCCCATGAACAACCCCCCCCCCCCCAATGTTTATTCTTTGTTTTTATGGTTTTAAAGCCTGTCAAAAATGTAATTTTAATTTCTTGCCTACATATGAATCACATAAAAAATGGCTGGAGTTTAGCCTAAATAAACATTGTGGTGTTATTTACTTTTGTCATTTAAAACCATTTCCAAACCTACGATGTGTCTCTCAATACTTTCCGTTTTTGATGACACTTAGGCCCCCAAGCTCATTGTTTGCTACTAAAGATGTAAATACGGGCCAACTGTAGCTGAGTGGGGAGCCGGGTTGAGAAATTAGTGCTCTCGTGTATATTTTTGTACAGTGAGGTTCATTGATGTTTTGTTTTTTTTAATTAGTTTTTATACAACAATGAAGCTTTATCAGGCTTTTATACACATATTAGTTTGACACTAAATGGGATTTATCATTGTAAAAAAAGTAATCAGCAGGCAAAAGGTGCAAATAACACTCTGGCAACACATGCACTGACAACGTCTTTCCTGGGAGGCCTCTGGGATCTGAACATGCGCTGTGCTAAAATGGATTGGTCATTGCAAAGACGTAGGCCACAGGCACTTGCAGGCCAATGTTGACAATATGCCATTTCCCCATCGCTAATGCTCCAATAACCAGCCCTGCTGCTGTTCCTAATGTTCCTGGCCACGATGACCACCTTCCAGCCACAGCTGCTGCTGCACCCACAGACACCCCTGCTACACCCACCACCCCCAGCAACGCCCCCGCTTTCCCCCCTTCTCCCAGCACCGGGGCTAAAAGCTCCACCCCAACCAGTAAACCACCCGCCACCAAAGCTCCCCCAACCACGACTTTCACTTCTCCAGCTCCTCGCCTCACCAGTGGACCCCCCACTGCAGCCCCCAAAGCCAACTCACATAATTTTGCCGCAAAAAAAGCTGCATTCAAAGCTTCCAGAGAGGATTGTCGGTTCATTCTAGTGCTGATGTTTTGTCTGGAGTGATTCTGCCCTGCTGCTCGCATCTTCATGGCAGTTGTTAGGACCACCTGACCGGCATGTAGGGTGAGCATGGCAATGACGAAAGTTGCCAGCATTCCCATGCACCCTATTAACATCCAGAATTTAAAGTCTGGGGATTTCAGAAGCAAATAAGTTATCCCTGCAACCAAAGCCAGAAGAACTATAAACACAGACTGGTGCCCCCCATAACCAAACACCCCAAACCCTGTCGTTACTATGGCAACCACTGTCATTGGAATCCCTGAGAAAGCCAAGAAGTCCACATATTTGACCACCGCTGTGTTGATCCAGTCTTGCATGGTTCTTTGCTCCATCTCTGCCTCTTCATTCTCCGTTTTCCTCCTCTCCATTTCCTCTCTCTGCCTTCGCTCCGTGACCCATGTGGTCGTGTCCTCCGTCCCGCTGCCTCCCTTCTCCAGTGTCAGGATCCTCTGCTCTATCTGCAGAGCCACTCTCTGTCTCTGCTCTGATTCTATAATCTCTGTATGTTTCCTCCTACTGTCCCAGTCTTTAGATCTTAGAGTGCAGCAGGCCTCTCCCTGTTTCCAGAGGAGCTTAAATGCAAAGTGCAGAGGCGGTTTGAGCACAGTGAATATGCTCAGCGCCCACAGAAGGCCCACCATGCTATAATTGTTCACAATCCATTCGATAGAGGCCCCTAGTGTAGCCCCACTGAGAGTGGTCCCAAAGGCCCCGGCAAGTCCTGCTGATGCCCACAAGGTCACAGAGTCTTTGTGGGAAGTACCACAGCTATGCGTGCCCACAAACACTGAAGCTACCGCTGCTGCCAGAATCACACCAGCGACTGCTGCAGTCATTGCCGTGGCCAGTGCTGAGGCTCCAATCAGGGACCCCAAACCCAGAGCGCCCACTGTCCTGACTTCATCCACCACTGGTTTCAATGGACCGGCTGCAGTCATCAGTAACAACGTCTTTTCCACTGGGTCCTCTGTGGCTCCGAGTATGGAGCCTCCCACTGCTCCCAGTGCAAAGCCCACAGCTGCCTCCATTAAAGGGCTCCTAGTTCCTGAAACATGAGAAGAACAAAACTATTCAGAGCTCTGGTTACTTGGTCTCTTTTTCCAAGGTTGATGGCTATTTTAATAAGTAGTTACAGATAACACCGTTACAAGTTATTATTCACCCTTTCTTTTACTTTTGTATCTCACATAACAAGGTGAAGGACATTTCCTTTAGAACAAATTCTCTTACATGAGGAGTACACAAAAACTTTTTAACAACTGGACAAAGATTTCATTTGAATTTACAAAAGACTTCCTAATGAGACGAGTGAATGGGAAAGGCGGTCATGTGTGATGCATGACTGCCTGCAGAGACCTGACTGGTTAGTCAGGTTTAGCAAGCAGGGGAAACCATGCTGCCATGATTCCTATCTGTTCACACTGTGCATGTGACTCCAGCTCAAAACAGGGAGCTTCACTGGGTCAAAGAAGTTGGTGCCCTTCTAGGATTGGGAATGTAGTCAAGTAATGCATAAAAAAACTATGTCCAGCTTTCTTGAAGGAAGTCCTTGTTAAAAGAAAATAAAAGCACTACACTACTGACTGTTTTTTGAGCACAGTGTAAATGTTCATTCATGAACACAGACACCAATGAAATGTACATCTAGAAAGGTAACGTGTCTTACCCAGTTTAGTCCGTGCCATGCTGTCTTAATATGGGCGGAAGATCGACTAATCCTCTTCCCCCGGGGGTTTGTCAGAGTATAACCAACCCTGTTTCCAAACCTGTCGAAAGAACCCTGTGTGTCACGAAATGTGTCTGAAAGTGCCTATTTTTCCCTGTTTATATAACAGTAGCTCGTACAGGACACACCCCTTGTCCTTTCAGTGTCCTTCCTCCAGGTGATCCTGTATGGAGAACAAAAGCTACCATCCTTATGAATGTAAAAAATGACTCAATGATCAAATAAATGAGGCACAGTTTTTGATAACTATTATTTATTGTATTTCTTCACATGTATTAATGAGGTGGAGGTGATATTACTACTATCGTTCTGTAGAGAAAAGAAAATGGCATAAATCCAGAATAAAATAAACATGGCAGTAGATAAAGGAATGTAGATGTAAGTAAATGTTAATATAAAATGTAAATAAATGAGGGAAAAACGTCTTTTTGAGAAAGGACAATTTAAAGGACAAATATTTCTGTTGTCTCATAGAAATCTACGGTTTTCAGCAGAACTTTATTCTCTGTATTTGTCCAGGCTCTGTTATGTGGTTGACTCCCTTCAACCGTTTATCTGGGGTCAGGTTGCAGGGACAATAGTTCCATCAGGGGAGCCTAAAACTTCCTCCTTTGTTAAGTGGGGACTCTTCCCTTAAAATGAGTCATTTACGCCCGCCCATGGACTCAATGTCGACTGTAACTATTGGTTACTATCACCTGATCCATAATATCAACAGGTCAGTAAAACCCAGCTCTTGTGTTGTGACTTGCATCTTCACCTTGGTTTGTAGAGATGGATGCCAGTGGCTTGTAGATGTCTTCAATTCCAAAGTTAGGAATGTGAAAGTGGAAGTTGTGTGTGGTAAGCAAAGATCTCCTTGGAGAAAGGCCACACTTAGTTATAACAAAGAAAAGAAAATGTCAAAGAGCTGAACGCCGGCGTCAAAAAACAAATCTCCTGGTAATCTGTATATAAAGACAGACTCAAATATAATTCAGAAATGAGAAACGCAAGGTCCAATGCAAGTCCTTCTTCTCTGATGTCATAACCAAAACACTAACAACAAACATTGTATTGGTCAACTGGCTGCTTTGATATTATACCAACACACTTTTTTGCCTCGCCTTACTGACCCCATGTTGTCATCGCAAGATGAGCGATTAAACCCTGGCTTGCTCTGGATGTGCATCCTGATGAGTCAGCTCAATTTTCAACCTTAGGGACACAAACTGTTGAGTGTGAACAATTAAAGTCTCAGAAGACTTAAACCACTGAAGCTCATGATGTGCTCAACTTGAAGCACGTTGTGAAAAAAGTACATCTGATCAACATGACAACGTGAATTTGAATATTTCCAGACTGTATAAGATGCAAAGATGATTTGGGACCTAAAGAGATCCTGAGGAACCTTGACCGTTCAGAGTGTAACGTAAAGGATTTGAACTAGATGTTCTATCTCTGAGGGAAACCCAGCTTAATTGCAATGTCACAAACAACATTGTTTTGATATGGAAAAAACTGATCATCTGCCAGGGTAGGGAAGGGTTTACAACGAAGTGTCTCTGTCTGTTTTAAATAATGCAGTAATGCAGCTATGAATTGATGCATTGCTTTTACTTTTGTATGTACTTTTACATTTTTTTTAATGTTTTTTAAATATTTTTTATGGTTGTGCAGGGGATGATGTAAGCAGTGACATCATCGGGTTGGACCGGGGGGGAGTGTCATAATGGGTGTATGGATGTCACCTGTGCACATGGTGCAACCTGGGGCGGGTTGATTGACAGCGTTAAAGGTGGAGGACATTGACTGTTGGGGGAAAATGGTGCAACATCTGTGTAGCTGAGGGCACGTGTTAGATGAGTTTATGTTGAGTTGATTCAGTTAATGAATCCTTTTTACAAATACCCCCCCCCCCCCTTTTTTTTACCTGGACCAAGTTTCGCTTGCCTGCCTCCTAATTCCAGGATTCACTCGGTCGTGGCATCCTCACATACAATTATACATATAGTTGCTAAATTAGCAGCCTAGTAACAAATGAAACATTTAGGATCACTGTAAATGGCACTGCCAACTGCAACAGCAAGATAATATAAAAGTGACAGAAATTGTTCTTGGGATGCAAGAGGACTCAAAATAAAATTGTTTAGTTGGTGGCCTACCTGGAATGTTGCATTAATTTAAATTAAAGACGAAACTTAAAACAAAGAAAATCAGAGATATTAATTTTATATTTTACAGATTTGACCATAATACATTTGTCTTCGTTATTGAAACTCGATAAAAATAATAATATATTATTTTGAATGTACTCATAGGTTGTGAGAAAAGAGCCGTGAAAAGATGTTCAACTTAGGAGTGAAAGATATAAAATATACATCCACACCATGACGGTGATGTACGATTAGGATTCACCTCATTCCACGTCCTTAAAGTCGTGCCACACTAAACCATTTACTGTGGGCTCCCGGTTGGCCAGGGCCCATCACTGTTGGACGGATAACTCTGGTGCACACTCCCACACGGTAGGTGGCGCTAACCACTTTCAAACTCTCCGCTCTGCAAACAAAATAACACCAAAGAAAACTTCCGGGTGGTGGAACTGATGCAACTTAACGTTAGTTGGACTCTACGGACGCATCTAAGTGTAACTCAACGATGGCAGCGCTGACGAAAAAGCATGGTGAGTTTTTATACACAGGTCTATATTTTTGCCTCCGTCTGACACGACAGATATGTTGGATGTCTATTTTTCACCTTACACATGTGTATTTTTTAGCTAGCTGCCGCTACCTTTTTCGTTGGTGTAACGTTATTTTACTAGGATCCGTAGCTAGCTTAGCACTAGCCCTGTTAAGCTAGCTAGCTAACGTTACCCAGGTTTAACACAACTAACTTAACGTAAGTTTAAAGCTGCGGTGATGTATCGTCTTTCTCTAGGTTTGAAGCTTGTTTTTTAGACTAGGCTAAATTGAACAATTCTAAATCCAAGTTGTGTGGATGATGGGTCGATGAATGTGATCCACACATGTCTCTGTACATCGTGGTCTTTTGGCGGAAGTCACTTTGGGACTGGAGAGCATTGACTGCTTTTGTTCCCTTCAGTTCAATTCATTTTATTTTGTATAGCCCAAAATCGCAAATTTGCCTCAGAGGGCTTTACAGTCTGTGCACATACGACATCCTCTGTCCCGAAACCCTCCATCGGCAAAGGAAAAGCTCTCCAAAATATGAAAAAACCCTTCCAAGAGGAAACAAAAAGGGCAGAAACCTTAGGGAGAACGTCAGAGGAGGGATCCCACTCCCGGGATGGACAGACTACAATGGATGCCATGTGTGCAGAATGAACAATGTATAATACATTCAATTCTTATGACAGAAATGATTCAAGTAATTGTGAGTAGTAAGCCAGGCGCACAGCAGGACCACTGCAGGGACAACCACCATCAGATAGAACCACCACCCACAGATGCCTGTGAGGAGGGAGAGCACAAATACTTTAGCAGAGGGTCATGTTGGTTTATGAGTACAGTAATATGATTAATATTTATAATAATAATAATGATGATTGCTGCAGCAGCAGGTGTCAGCACATCACCGTCATAAACTGAATAGCATATCAGGTTTCTGAGGGTGGAGTGAGATGAAAACGGCATGTTGTTATCTTCGCAATAAAAGATCTTTGATGTTACTTGTCGAGTCTTTGCCAATCAGCGTCCAAATGTCTTTAGCGTCTTCATTTCCCTTCCAACTTTTCATCCTTTCACTCATTTTAAAGTTACTGCCAATACTGGATTACTACTGTACTTGCTTTGGCCCGGCTCAGACTTCTGGTCAGAAAAGCCCAAATGTAGCACAATGAAAGCACAATGAAAGTGAAAGCAGTGTTCCTGTTTAATATGTGTTTATGTGAAAGGCCAATAATGTCCCAATGATTGAATGAATAATGCTGAACTCCATATTGATCAAAATAATAACTTTTGATTGTGATTTTGGCCCTAATTGTGCAGCCCTAACGTACACCCTTGCTCCTTTTTCACCCCAAATGAGTTTGCAAGTGTGCATCATTTTGGTGCACCATACGTAATGGAAATCCACTAGACATTTGTATTTGTTTGTGTGATCCAGGAGACGATGCACAGCCTTTGTCTGATGACCCCGGTGACCAGAGGAATTCTGAGGAAGGGAGCAACAATGAAGGATCTGCTGATGGAGGAGATGAAGAGGAGGATGGAGATGGCAGTAATGCAAATGCTGGGTGGGCTGAGGCCATGGCAAAGATCCTTGGAAAGAAAACCCCCGAGAGTAGAAGCAGTATCCTGGTGAAGAGCAAAGAGCTCGACAAGATGAAGGGGGTGGAGAAACAGGAGCAGCTGGAGAGGAGGAAGCAGGTAACGTCCCATCTGCTACTAATTAGGCTTTAAATCTCATAATGGTTATGCTCAAGGCTGAAGCCAAATGGGAGTGGTACATGCAGAATACAGATATCTCAACAGATTAACATCACCTTGAGCCGACATCCAACTTCATGCAAAAAGTTTGACCTGGCTAAACCAAGCTACACCCCCATGTTTGACAGATCCTACTCCTTTCTGTGGAGAGCAAACTAGGCGTAGTTTGCTCCCCACAGAAAGGAGTAGGATCTGTCAACTTTGTATATAGATATCTATGGATAGAAGAACACGTGAAGTGAATTTATTGATTTATTTTTATTGCTAGATGTTGGGTGTTACATTTTTCTATGTGTGCATCAGGTTGACAAGAAGAGAGCGTGGGAAATGATGTGCAGAGAGAAACCTGATGTTGCGAAGGACCGCGACGCCGAAAGGGCTCTGCAGAGAATAGCTACAAGGTGACTATTTTCTGAGGCTCTGGTAAAACATTCTGGGCAAGTTTCATTCCTGATCCCAGTTTGTGATTCTGTCCAGGGGGGTGGTGCAGCTGTTCAATGCAGTGAGGAAACACCAGAAAACCATCGATATCAAGGTGAAAGAAATCGGTGGCTCAGAGAGGAAGAAGGCCAAGCTTCTTTCATCTGTCTCTAAGAAGGACTTCATCGATGTGCTGAGGGGAGTGGAGGGGGGCGGTGCCAGGAGCAGGGCTGAAGACACCACTGTAAGTTCAATGACCCACTCCCTACAGAGGGCGAACCAGTGATCCAAACAGTTTGATTTCATCACACTGTCCAACAAGATGTCATTACAATGACTCACACCATGGTGTGTATGTTTGTTTGTGTGTAGGTGGCTTTAGCAGAGAAGCAGTCCTCCTGGAGTGTCCTCTCGGACGACTTCATGATGGGAGCCACCATGAAAGACTGGGACAAAGACAGTGATCGAGAGGAGGATGACGCTGTGCGTACCGGCTGAAGAGACGTGTAACAGCTGGCTGTAACACCTTCACAGACATTCTTTGAATCAGAAACCCTGATCTACAGAGAACTGCTGAACCTCTGGAAATGTGGAACTACCCAAGTCTAGTTGCAAGCCCTGCCCGTTTGCCCCTGCAAGACAAACCAATGGGAAACTGGATGAGTTGTTGGACCTGGAGGAGCTCCTCCACCATACTATTGTATTAATGTAAACTCTGTACATAAGAATGTTTTGAATAAACAACCAATGGATGAAAGGCCATCAGCGCTGTGTAGTGTCTCTGTAGGCCCTAATGACTAGTGTCAGGTGGGATGTTTCCATGGTCAGAGGGGATAGTTCCAGGAACCCTTGACTGAAGGAACATATGGACGTCTGAGTGGTTTTAACATTTACTTGCTTTTATAAAGTAGTGGTTCCAACCAATCCTGTGACGTGTTTCCACAGAGCCATTCTGCAGTGTTAGTGCCCTCTACATCCATGAGGGCGCATACCCAATATGCCTTGGTTAAGACCATACCCTGCCTGATTTGCCACGGGGATCTACATACTGAAAGGGACTTGATTTATATCTTTCATCAATAAATACACTTGTGATCGTTTGTTTCATGGTTGGTTAGCTTGGCGCTAGTTAGCGTTAGCTCCAATGCTTGGGTTTGAGCATGAGACTTCATAGGGCTCCAAGCTCCCTCTACCTCATCGCCAGGGGTTTGTGTAAATGTTGACAAATAGGAAATATAAATATCGAAAGGAGTCTTCATAGCACCAGACATGAGAACTATCACGTCGCCACACTGTCATGCTGTGTCCATATATTGTCAATGACAACTAGCAACTAACACTGCAGCTTTTCTACAATTGAAAAATTCAACTAACGTCAGAAATGGTGGAATGAGCTCTCTGACACCAGGACCGCAGAGAGCCTTCACATCTTCCGCCGCAAACTAAAGACTCTTCAGACTCTACCTCGACTGAAAGACTAACCAATTGTAGCACTTAAATTGTATTTATAACGCCACTTATCTAAAGCAAAATGTAAATTGGCTCATTTGAGGAAATTGCACTCGTTTCTTGCTCTTCGGAGTTCGTATCCCTGTGGGATGTTAGTGTTTTCTGGAACTGTGACGTGGAGATCAACGAGCGCGAGACCTGCTAAGTTCCGGCATTAGGACCCTGCGTCGACACAAGGCAGCGGGCCGACGGACCCTTCGCCGCCGTCGCGCTGCCCCGATGGACTCAGTGAACGCTCCTCTGCTCAACTAACCGTCCGGTAACTTCCATTTAGAGCCTCATCTTTTCACAAAGTTAAGGCCACGGCGCAGAGGGGGCGCGTGGAACGTTCGTCCCCCATTAGTCTGAAAGCGGCCGCTGCAGCCCCCAACTAGATGGGTTGAGGGAGACGCGTAAAAAGCACTATGCGGTCTCGCCGAAGCCAAACTCCGAGCTGTTTGTGAGGTACTTGGGAAGGACGCCTCTCCTTGTGACATCACGGCTCTGTGGGGATTACTGATTTCAACGTGTCAGGAAAAGTTTTAAAAGTTCCCACGTTGCATCCCCACTGAACTTCGTGGTCGGGTGCCTGTTGTGCGGAGAGTAAAGGCGATGGAGGTGCCTCCAGCTTCCCCGTTTCCACGCAGCCCCCCCGCTGCCGTCTGATGGCCGCCCGTCCCGCTTCGCCAGCACTTCGCTGCCCCGAGACCTCTAGCGTTAGTCCCGGCTGCTCCTTCCGTCCACACTGCTGAGCGCCTCGCGTTACTGGACCGCACGCTTTACATTATGTACTTTATTCTGGGCTCCGACGCGTGTTTGCCTGCCAGAGTTTGAAGCGCTCGGCGAATATCTTCCTCGGTCGTCTTTGTGTGTTCGATACCGGAGAAGATGAACCTGTGTGTCGTCAGTCTGCTCCTCACTCTGGATCTAGCCGCCGTGGCGCTCAGCCTGTCCACGTGCAGCACGCTGGACATGGAGCACTTTAAGAAGAAGCGCATCGAGGCCATCCGAGGGCAGATTCTGAGCAAGCTGAAGCTCACCAGTCCCCCGCAGGACTTCCCCGACCCCGAGGAGGTGTCCCGGGACATCGTCGCCATCTACAACAGCACGCGCGACCTGCTGCAGGAGAAGGCGAACGAGCGCGCGGCGACGTGCGAGCGGCAGCGGAGCGAGGAGGAGTACTACGCCAAGGAGGTGCACAAGGTCGACATGCAACCTTTCTTTCCGGCAGAGAGTAAGTGTTAGGCGTGCGCGCGTGTGTGGCTGCATGTGACCCCACTGATGCTGTGTGAGTGAGAAGTTGGTCACGGACGTCATTTGATTGTTTTGGATGAGCGCAGTGACCTCCTTCGACTCTCTGACGTCACTTTGTTCGGTGCTCTGGTGGAACGTCGGCATGCGGATGGCTGAGGACCAAGGAGGTCAGGCTGTAGCTGGAAGCGGACCAAAAACACGCGTCCATCTCTGTTCGTGCCCTTCTGCTTCACCCAAGCCTCCACCCCGATCCCCGGAACCACTTGTTCCTAACATCAGAGTCCCCGTGAAGTTGACCAGGGTGCGTCTCTAAATGTAGATCTGGCGCTCGCGTCCTCACTAGCAACAGGGTTTTTTTTAGCAGTAACACACCTCAGACCTTCAGCCTCGGTGGAAATGGTCCTGAATTTGCTGAGACACCTCCCACCCCCACGAGGGGACAAATATTCGCGAGACTTATTCGCTACTCTTCCAACTACTCAACGCTCTTTAACCCTACATGTCATCATCCAGTTTGCAGAGGAACCAACACCTTCTACTTATGGAAGCTTCAAGTAGAAGGTGTTGGTTCGCTGCTGTTCTGTAGCTGACCCTGACCTTTGACATCTCCTGTGGGGAAGATTCATTTCTGCTTTTACGGAGCGAAGACACACTGTAAGAGCGGCATGGCTGTAGAAACCAAATAATCATTTTAAGATGAAGCTGCAGAGCTGTTAACCCCAATCCCATCAGAAATGTGAGCACATGAGCTGAAGAAAAAATAAATTAGCAGGACATTTTGTTTGCACGGAGGTGTATTTTACATTAAATGTTATCCTTGGCCCGGCCTCTTGTGTATATACCTTGAACACGAATAGATGTGGCCTGGTGCCAAATGCAGTCAGCAAAGCATTTACAGGATATAAATAATACTGAGTCAACACGCAGGGAGGAAAGATTCCCATTCATGTGAACTAGTGACACTGGCCAGGTCCTCACATCTGGACGCTGAGAGGAGGGAGATCAAGCAGTGAGCCCTCAGCTCTATTTATTTAGGATCAGCCTTGTTTGGTTGGGTGCCGGGAAATCCTCAAAGGCAGCAATGTAGGGCACATGCGCTTGAAAGCCTCACAGACCGATGGAGGAGCGGAATGAGGGGGGGTTGGAGATGTTGTGCCAGGTCTCACAGTTGTTTATTTAAACCCAGTAAGCTATTGGGCTTTTTGTGTATGCTCTGCCTGCCACTCACGCCATGGAAAGTTCCAGCAGCAGAGATGCTAAGTCGGTGGCTAATAACTTTTACGGTCTGTTTGGAAATTGAGCTCAGAAAGTGGGGGTGGGGACTTGTAAAAACATGGATACTTACCAGGCAGGGAGGGTCCTATGAGGAATGGTGAAAATTGCATCATGACAACCTCCATTTTTGTGGCTCGACGCGTACTAACTCTGATTTTTAGGTTGAATATATATATATATATATATATATATATATTGACCAATCTTTTTTTTCTCAAATACACCACCAAAGTCCACAACTTTATGGCAGTAAGGTACTAAATCCCCTCTTTGATCATCTGCTTCTCCCTTAAAAGTCAACCTGCACTGTATCAGTTTGACTTAATGAGACATATCTCTCACAAATGTTACCTAATAATCTTATAACATTATTACTATTGTGGAAATAGCAGTAGTTAGTTTCTGATGGTACGTCGTCGCTGTGTGGTAGCTCCTCCCATCGGTGTATGGGGGTCGGGGTGGCGCAGGGGGTAGAGCGGGGGCACTGGGAACTGCAAGGTTGGTGGTACGAGTCCCGGCTGCCCCATGTCTCAAGTCAAAGTGTCCCTGAGCAAGACACCTAACCCCTAATTGCTCCCCGGGCAAAAAGCCATGGGTTTAAAGTCGCTTTGGATAAAAGCGTCAGCTAAATGACCTGTAATGTGTATGAATGGGTGATGACATGTAGTGTTAGAGCTTCAAGTTGTCAAGAGAAAACATTCTTAAAGTTATAGTACATTTTACTATTGATTTATCTGAAAGGAAGTAATTGTGCCAGATAAAAATACATGAGCATAATGATACAAAAAAATGGACAAAACACCATTTCTCCATATTTGAGCTGCAATAAATAGAGATTTCCCAATAGTTCCAGGCAAAGACAAAAATATGGCTTTTACTTTGAAGAAATCTCAATCTGTACAGTAAAAACACTTCATATGCTAGTAGTCAGAGAGGTTCTTAACACATATGCATTGGTCTTGCCTGGAACTATTAATAAATCTGTTTTATGCCAGTTGAAAATTGTGTTTTTGAACTTCCAAAAATAGGGCTTTTACTTTGAAGACATTTCCAAATCTGTACAGTAAAAATACTTGATATTTCTCATCCTAGTAGTGAGAGAGGTCCTTAACACAGGTGCATTGGTCTTTGCCCGGGAACTGTTGAGAAATTCATTTTTATTGCAGTCCAAACATGGAGAACCTGTCTTTTTGAACGTGCAATTCTAGAGCTTTTACTTTGGTGAAAACTCCAAATCTGTAGAGTAAAATAATTTCATATTCAGCATGCTAGTAGTGAGAGGTTCTTAACATGAGTACACTCACTCAGTTTTTTTTCTTGGAATTATTGAGAATTGTGTTTTTATTGCATTTCAAATATGGAGATATGGTCTTTCTGAACGTGCAATTATAGGGCTTTCACTTTGAAGAAATCTCAATCTGTACAGTAACATTTTTTCACTTTTCTTTGTTGTCCAATTGTAGTCCGAGATGTCTTTAAAACATGGTATGTTAGTCTTGACTGGAATTATTGAGAAAAGTATTTTTATTGCACTTCAAACATGAGAAATGGTGCTTTTGAACTTTGAAATATAGGATAATTATCTAACTTTGTACAGTAAAAGTATTTCTTTTTTTGTACAACAGTAGTCATGCAACCATAATTGATATTATGAGACTCATTGAGAGCAAATAACTTTAAAGGTTGAAGTCCCAGCATTAAACAATTTACACCATCATACAAATAAACAAGTAAACACAGGAAAGAGTTCTTCAGAGTAAAACAAAGTTTATTAAATTACAGAAAGACCGATCAAGAGCACTTGGTTCTGTAACCAAAAACCCCATGACACAATTTATGAACCTACTATCCCAACCAACAGCTCTATTTATTTATTTATTATTCGGATCGTAATCGGACCGCACATAGTCGGACAAAGGTGTTTACATGAAAAAGGATCATTCGATTTCAGTCCGACTAAGCCAGTTATTCGAATCCATGTCACCACGCTGAGTGACAACTATTCCCAGTGTTTCCCCTACCAGTATAACAGCAGGGCTCTCAGTGGGGCATTGAGCAACACAGTAGGTCCCCCCCTCCCCGTCGACAGTATAGTCGCCCCGGACAAAATCTCACTCCGATTTCCTTTGAAACGTTGAGAGGTTCGTAACAGCCCCCCGCCTGCTGAAGTGTGCAATTTAATAATAAAAAACCCCCACAGCAGTCGCGAATATGTGATCGCAGCAGTGGGGCAGAGAGCACCTGAGTGACTTCTACCCCCTCCCCTCCCGTGTTGGCTGAATTGTTTGATCGACTACTACCCCATTTGCCCAACGTGACAGACAACGTTATCTCGCACGTTTATGTAGGGTAGGGTATGTAACTCTGGACTCGGTCACGAGACGCAGACCTTGTCCAGTGAGAGCTCTGTCCCGTGGCCACTCTCACACCTCCCAACTTTGTTCTCCAGTGGAGCCTGGTGCCCAGCGGGGGTCTGTGACTAGGGGCTCTGCTGTTAAGCCTAGTTTATGCATTTGTGTTTTCAGAGAGACGCAAGGACACGCAAGAGCCCCTTGGGTGTCCTTGCGTGTGTCGACCCATTTTTCTAGGCTTGCGTCAAAAGCTACACAAGCCTCCCGCAGCCCGCAAGGCTGTGATTGGTCTGCTAACTACAGGAGTCTCACATTTCCGTTTTCATAGCACAATACGGCCATTATTAAAATGAAGAATGTTTACAAGAGAACGGATCAGATTGAAGAGCTTTTGTCGGAAGAAATGTGTAAATATGAGCACTTCTACAAGCCGTCATTGGCGGACTATGAGGACGCCGGATGGCCTCTGATTCATGGAGGGAGATCTCCACAAACGAGGGGAACGAAGTCGTGGAGGAAAATACGGGACAAATGTGTCCTTGATGAAAAGCAGCAGTGTGGATGCACGGGGCAATAAAGTCTATGATAAATAAATAAAGCAACCAACGACTTCCACACACAAAGACGTGACTCTCTAGGTCGTCTTCAACAAAACACGTTACTCCACCTGTTGTTCTGGAGGTGAATTGCTCTGCAACACACGCAAGACTTGGTGCGTAAAGACGCAGACGCATGCGGCAGCCTTTAGAAGACGCATGTCTTCCTGCATGTTCCTGTTCTCTCTTTGGCTCTCCCTGGCACCATGGATGGCAGGGCCCAACAAATGCTTGATATTCCGTCTCATACACATTGTGTTATTTAAGCTTGACCACTGTCTTTCACTAACTGTTTTGTTGACCTAATCTGTGGTATCCACAGAACACTATTTGGATTGAGGTGTTGTTGTTGTTGTTGAAGTTCTGGAACAATCTTCTTTTAAATGCCTGCGGTCCAGTTCCATGAAAGCGATTTGTCAATTGTGCTGAGAAACTGGTTCATGGAAGTATATGTTTATACATACAGGATATTTTAAGACAGACAAATGGACATTGTGTAATACATTGGAATTTAAATAAAGAAATATACAAAAGAATACAAAGCCTCAAAAGCATGACTGTTTTTTAATCAACAGTTATGCAGGGATGTGTAGATAATTATCGGCCACTTTGTTGATGAGCCCAGGGTCCGAGGTTTGTTTTCCCTGCTTCACATTCTGCTTCCTGTCAGACAGGAAGTCGATGATCATCTTGCAGATGGAGTCGAGCATGTGCTACCGGGATAGCTGCAATATAGTAGATGCAGGGATGCAAACAGC